TGGCAGGGTGTGAGTAAATTGCATTTATTTGCAGACGAAAAGACCTCCATGATTAGCTCAATGTAAAATAATATTAAGTCGAAAGTACAGTGTGCACTGTTAACTAACATTTTCCCTCTATACACATTTCTGTGCACCGGGTACTTCAGCATCATTTATGTGAATTGTGGATGTACATACTATGTATAATATATACATAATAATAATAATATAATGCACTGTTACTGTACTGTTAAATAAAACTTTGCACCCTACCAGTTCTGTTCGCCTGTAACTTTATCAAAATTTCCGTTACAATTTTAATCCCAGGCGAAATGAAATTAAATGAATACAAAAATTATAATACATAAATATATATATATGTATTTATTTACTTTATTTTACATATTTTATACTTGTTCTTTTTACTTATTCGCAAATTGTAGGCAAACAAAAATCTTATAAAATTAATTTTCTTTCTCTCTCTGTCAAACAATTATTTAAATATTTTTTGCTGCATATAAACATCAAGCAAATTAAAATTTTGCTAAAACAAAATTTGTGCATTACATTTTTTAAAAACAATTTCAATTCCAAAAATTAAATTAAAAGTTCAGAATGAAAAATTTTTATTATAAATATTTTTTAATATATATCAGAAAAGAGGAAAGGCAATTAAAAAAAAAAAAAATTGGGAACTGACTTAATTGATAATTAATAAAATATTTTATGCTGGTATTGAATAATTAAACAATTATCAAAAAACAAACCCTAACACAGGGTCATTTAAATAATTTCGGCTCGATAAAATGTCAGAAATAATGCTGCCATATACAGGTGAAATATACATATACTATGTATCGGGAGGCAGGTGGAAATTAATTAAACCCGACAAATAAAAAGCATGAAAATAGAATTTTTGTAAAAATAAATGAATTGTTGTAACAACCAACAACAAACAACCAACAGCCAACAACAAAGGAGCAAATTGTTGATCCCACGTTACGATATGACAAACAAAATGCAACCGACTAATAAATAAAGGAACAACTGAAAGCTAAATACAATGCCAAATACTAAATACTAAATACGAAATACTAAATACTTTTATTGCAATTGTTCTAAATAAATAATGAGCACAACTGTACGCCGAGTGCAATTGGCAAAAATAGGTGTGCGAGAGGTGTGAGAGAATTATAAAATCTAATCACCTTTGTTTAAAATTTAATGAATGCAATAATTTTCAGAGGATTTCCCAGCTGCACAATCATTAGCAGGCGAGCTATTTTTTGGAGGGGGAGGGGGAGCGTTCGGTAATTGGTGACAGCCGGATAATTGTGGAAGCGCGAAACCCAAATATGCTGGCCATAATAAAAATAAAAAATATCTATAAAAAAAAAAAACCGAAAACTAAATACGAAAAACAAATAAAACGGATTTGTATCTGTTAACGCAAATGCTCCGTCAGCCCCCGCCCCTTCTATAGGCATTAAAAAAACAAAAACAAAACGATGAAATGACAAACAAAAGAATTTTAATTTTATGTTATTTACCCATTGCAAATATCCCAGCAGCAGCATCCCAGCAACTGCAGCCTGACATCACAGCACAAATGGCCTCAAATGCTGCCAAACAACAAATATTTAATGCTTTCATAAAAATCGCACAATTTATTTAACAAATTGACCATTTCAACATTTTTACCGACAATGAGGTTAATTTGTATGTGTGTGTGTCTGCGTGTATGTGTTTGTGTGTGTGCGGGTGATACAATGAAACCAAAACCAATTCAAACACTGTGTAAAACATACAAACGTACATAGAAATAGATAAGTACATACATACATACATATATGCCCAATATATATTTTCCAATATATTACATTATATTTGCCAAATCTAGAAAACCTTTTTCTGAAACAGTTTGCATTAGTGTTGCTCAATGCATGTTATTGCAGTGTTGGCTAGCAGATTCTTAGTCTTATTCTTCTAGGGAAGAATATGGAAAATATATGGAAAAATATATGGAAAAATAAAAAGTCTATATTTTTTCAAAGAAGAAAACAAAAAAAGAGAAATAAAAATGATTATTCATTAATTTTTAATTAAAAATCAAGATAAAAATGTTAATATTTTTGAATCAATATGGAGGTTTTACTATAAATTTAAAAATAAATCTTTTTATTTCTTTTTTTAAATTGTAATGCAATATAAAACATATTATTTTTCTAAGACTTTTTACTAAGTCAACCAAATATTTTATCTGTTTTTTTTTTATTTTTTATTATTATTAACAGCTAAATTCGCAGGGCAATAAGCATTAATCAATCAATCATAACAAACTAAATTGATAGATATATTGGCAGCAAAGAAAAAGTCATAGACGAATAGAAATATTGGTTTGTTGGACCTATTCCAGTGTTGCCTAACGCATCAGTCAATCAATCAATCAGAGCAAACTGAAAATTTAGAACCATTATCCATTCAAAAAATAATCATGTAACAAATGAAGCGTAATATGCACCTGGTTAGTCGTACAGCGTGTATCCATTGCCAGTGTTGGGCAATACGCAAATAATTGCTATGCATGCGGCCGACAGAGAGAGAGTGAGAGAGAGGAAGAGAGATGGAGCATGATGACGTTGTCATCAAAATAAAAATTAATTATGCATTCTATGCGCTGCATTTGAATTGCTTTTGTTGTTTGTTACTGTCATTTCAATTTTGTCCTTTTTTGCAGTCGCTGCTGCTGCTGCTGCTCTGCTCCTGTGCTGCTGCTGTTGATGCTGCTCTTGATGCTGATGCAGTTTTGTGCGGGATTAATGTGGGATTAAAGCGGCAATGCGTAGTTTTTAGCATTTGGATCTGATTAAGCGCTGGCGCAAATAAATTACAAATATAATAATTAAGCAGCGCATTATTTCTGACAAAACAAATGCACGCCCATGCCCACGCCCACACACACACACACACCTCCGCCTACGCCCACGCCCCCCACCGTGTCCTGCATAATCGCATCGGCAATCGGGGCAGAAGTGGGCGCAATGCGCGAGCAAAATGCATTTGTGCATAGGAATTAATTACGCATAATGACAATTTGATAAAATTGAAAAATTACATATTATTTAAATTGATTTATTGTAATTAAAAATTCTGTAATCGTGAATATGGAAATTTCTAAACTAAACTGGACATCCTGAATTGCTATTATTCAATAATTAAACTGAACCGAACCTAAGTTTCATTCAGATAGAATATATACGAGATTTTATGCTTTAGCCATTGCAGCAAACTGAACTTTCCGCGCTTGCCTGGGCTGATGGGCTTCTTCTTTGACTGAGGCTGCGCCTGCTTATCGATAGCTTCGATATCGATGACACAGGCTGTCGATTGGCCAACTGCGCGGTCTTCAATAACGGCAGCATTTGTGGACTCGATGCGTATCTGGAACACGGGATTCTCTGGCTTCACGCTAACGAGTATATCGGCACCGTAGCCGATCTTCTGGCCATCGTAGCTGAGCGCCATCTCGCAGTCCATCAGGCAGTAGTACTTCAGATACATCAGATCCGAGTTCGTGAAGCTCTTGTCCACAATGTATCCGATATCCAGAAAGAAGCGATAGACCAAAGCGGCGCACTCCAGCCGATAGCCACTGACGGCTACCCAAAAGCCACTCCCCACCTCCCCGCTGGCACGGCTTGTGCTCTGCCCACCCTTGATGATGGCCATGGATGTCAGCTTCTGCCTGTTGGTCGTGGCCTCGATATCCGTATGCTCCGCGAAGACAGTGACGAATGGCGGCAAATAGTTCTTAGCGGGACTGCCCTCAATGTCCTTTGCAGCTGATCTAGACATGATTGTTTAGAGAGAGGGAGAGAGGAATATGGGGAAAGATCTATTAATATATTGGAAATGTTTAGGTGAAATGTTTAGGAAAGAGTACATACAGAACACAAATCTTGACATATAATGCTAGAAGAGAGAAGCTTGAAATGTGAAACTGACAAAAGCTGAAGTTGACTTGAAGCCTAGAGATGAGATGAGATGACTAAGGCAGATGGATGGAGCGATACAAGGGAATTGAGAATGGAGAGGAGACAAGACAGTAAATGTAAAGGTGAGAGAATGAATAGGAGAGAAACATGCGTGAAAATGTGAAGAACGGACACAAGAGATGAAATGACAGTAGATCGAGGAAAAGGGAAAGAAACAGAATAGACTAGGGCGAAGTAAAGAGACAAGCGTGTCAAGAGAAGACTGCAAAAGGAACACAGGAGACTTAACTTCTATTTTCAGAAGTATCAGTCGAACTGAAATGAGTAGCAGAGCCGGGCATAACAGACATTTGACTTCATTTAACACAACCAAACGGTCGGGGAACACTCAGAGCGAAACATTGCAAGTCGATCGCGAACGAACTCGCCGAAGAACCAATCGGTTGTTCTCTGAGTTTTTTCTCAGAGTGTGAGTAACGCTAGCAAACCAAGAACTTATAAGTCGCTCTAAGTTAACATGTCTGTCTAATAAAAGTACGTTTACAGAGCCCGGTTACTATCCTGTTAATTATAATTTCAGCAATATGTCTATAAATTCCGGATGTACCAGGCGAATGTTAATGAGCAGCAGACTGAAAAATGCTAGTTAACAGTATGTTAACAAGCAGACCGACAAAAACAACTCAACTCAACTGAGTCGTCTGCCACGCCTCCGTCTGTCTGTTAATTACCATTTCAGTAAAATATTATACCCGGATTCCATCATCATCAATATCAGTCGAACCTAATTTAAATTTGAATAATACAAATATATAAGAAAGAATATTAACTATATTTTAGTTCAGTTAAGTTAAAGGTCCTATTTTATAGTTTAAATACAAATATTATTTAAGTGGTATATTTTTAAAATATGCAGTATATATTATTTCATTTAAACAGCAAATATTTCGAGGTGAATCACGCAATGTATCCCGATTCCTGCTTGCGTCAACTCTGATTAACATTTGAGCTATATTTAGCCTCAGTTCCCTCTCGACAGCTACTGCTTAAAAAGTGATTAAACAATGTTTTTTTTTTTTCCTTTGTGAATTGAATCAAAATCAAATGGAAATCAAATCGAGCTGGCGGCAAGATCAAAAGATCCCTTTCCGTTCCACAAATCGTGCTCTATTTACAATATCGAAATTTGGCTGTCTATAAATTTGATCAAATGGAATAAGTTCAAAGTGAGATCGAAGCAATAAAATATTAAAAATTACAGTTATAAATATATGCTTTGCCTTTCTGTGTGGACTGGGCCCAGAGGTGCTCAGGTGTGCCACAGGGGAGGCGCCACAAAGTGGTTGCCACCCACAAAGCCAAACAAAGCTGCCGACTGCGGAAGTATCCATCAAGGCAGCCAATTGAGGGAGGCCATCAAGAGGCACCCAAAAGATTAAAGATTAAAGGCGATGGCGAAGATGAGGAAGAAGGGGAAGGCGAGTGCAACGTATCCGTGACTTCAAACGGGGGAGTCTGCGCTGTTGTTGTTGTTGACGAACCTGTTGATGCCCTCTAATTATAATGGGTATTAACTAATTGAATTATGTATGTAGTTTCATGTATTTGTTTATTTGGCGGCAGCGGCGGCGGCGGCCTTTGAACTTGCCACTCGATTGAACTCGAGTGCGAACTGATGGATCAGTTATTGCGATATATATGTATATATAGACAGAACATACATATATGCATAGATATGTGTGTGTGGATACTCCATTCTGATTCTTAGCTGCTAATCATGCGTGAATCATAATTTTTGGCCCAGTTTTCGACTCAGATCAAACACGATTTCCTTTGCTTAGCTGATAAAATCCAATGAGCGATTCGATAATTAGCTGTGATCTATCGATTCATGTGCTAAACGATTATCGATTGAGGCAATTAGGCAATCGAATTGTGTTCGCATATTTGGGTGAGCAAATGTTGAGCAATGATCGAGCAAAAGATACCCTATCCTATGAACTGGAATAGTTTACGTGAGAGTGCAACAAAAATATTATATATGTATATTACAATTCATTTTTAGGAATCTAAAATTTTATATATATATATATATATATATATATATATATATATATATATATTTATATATATATATATATATATATATATATAAGAAAACTGCATATCCATAATGATTGGCTATTGAATTTTATAGATTGAATATATATTTATTTTAAATTTTAAATTTGCCGCAGTAATTGTTGTTGATACAAAATCAATATTATTATGGAGCATATAAATTTAAAAAATTTTCTGTTTCATATTTTTGATGATAAAAAGAAAATTAAATAGTATTAATAATGAAATATTTATCAAATTAATATACCCATCCAACCCATTAAAAACAATTAAGGAAAATTTTTTATTTAATTTTTGTTTAAATTTTTCCACAAATAAGAAAATGACCATAAAATAAATAATGGAAAAAAAAATAGTAAGAAAATGTTTTCTCTTTTATTGCGTCACATTTGCTGAAATCGCACACTCTAACGGTTGCAAGTCAAAGGGATTCGATTTAAACAGTGATTAGGGCAATGGGGAGGTCTCAGTCGCTGCTGCTGTCGCTGCAGCAGCTGGCGTCGCTGCTTTGCTGTTTACCGGCAAAAGCTTGCACATGCACCCATACACGTGCTAGTCCGTGTGTGAGTTTCCGTTTGTTTGTATAGGAGCGTTCAACAGAGCGACAACAATAACAAACTCTCTCGTTTTCGTCGTGAGCACAGTTTCATCGTTACGCTGAGCACGAGAGCGTTACGAATTGCCAATTGGATTTTGCTCTCTCGTGCTCTTTATTTCCCCTTTTGCAGACGCTGCGCTGTTCCATTGCCAGCTCGTTTCACATTTCCCCAGCGCATTACCCCTGCTAGCAGATATTTGCGCTCTCTCTGTGCGTTCTCTTCGTTGCTGTTATCTCTTTTGGTCTTGTTTTGATTTCCCCTGTTTAGCTGTTGATACGCTGCTCACACTTGCCTGAGCAGCGCCTCGTGCCATCTCGCTTGTGCGCCCAATGAGCTGGGCTAGCTGTGCGGCATGTTACGTTTCTTGTGTTTGTTGTACTGTTTTTTTTTGTTTTTTTTTTTTCTTTTGCTGACTTCCCTGCTTTGTCGTGCTGTGTGCGTTAATTGTTGTTGTTGTAGCTACTGTAAACACGCACACCCATACGCAAGGAAATACACACACACATTCACAGATACAAAACACACGAAAGGTTGACATGTTTTATTTAGTTTTTTTTTGTTTTTGCATTCTTGTCTTTGACATTTTTCAGTTGTCATTCGAGATGTGCCCCTACTCTAATTGAGAATTTTCTATTGATATGGATGGAGCAATCGATATCGACTTAGTTTAAAATATGTATATTTCTACATTTACTGTCGGATATGCAAAATTACTAAACAAAATAAAAATATTTAAAGATCAAATTGAAATTTCGTTCTAAATAACATTAATTCCGTTAAAATCTTATGAGACACATAAATATGTATTGATACCGATAAACTATTAGCTTAAATTTAAATGCGATATATTATGAAATAGTACCATGGATCTAATAGGGAATATCCATATTACAACTTTGAAATAACTGTAAATGTATCGACTTGTCGAATACAATCTAACTTATTTATAAAATTCCAAAATATGATTATCGTTAAGTTCTATCGATACCTATTGGATATACTGTAATAAATAGCATCACTATTTTGCCTGGGAACAGCCCTACTATTTGTACTTAGAGCAACTCATAAAACCTTTCCCCTTCTAATATAGTATAATGATCGATTAATCGATAGAAAAAAAACTGTTCGAGCTCCCAACGAAATGACCTGCTTAAAGGGCGTTTGTGGATGCTACGCGAGAAATCCGTGCGGCTCGGACCTGGGCAAGCGATTCCAGAGATTCTCCGCAGCGTGTCGCGACTGCGCGTGCCGCTCTGGCAACGCCGGGACGGGCGGGACGCGGGCCTGCGTGTGCAACCGGGAGAGGAAGCCGGTGCCGGAGCGGATTCAATGGCTCAGGAGGTACCGAGTGCACCTGGCCGACGAAAAGGCCTGCGACTGTCGAAACGCTTCGCCCGAGGAGTACTGGTACAGCACGAACCGGGAGAACATCGTAGCCCTCAGCCAGGCACTCGAGCTGCCCGTCCACCTGGTCGCCGACTTCCTCTACACGCTGACCATGCAGAACTTCACGCGGATGCTGAGGCCGCGCTCCACCTGCTTCGACTGCCGCGTGCCGCTCAGCAAGAGCGACCCCTGCACCCTGTACGCCAGCGTCTTCGATGATGAGGGCAATGTCCGGAATCCCTTCGCTCCGGGCACGCTGGTCGAAGTGCTGAGAGTCCTGCAAATGGTGCTGAGGGAAGGCGTCGACGAATCTCCGAAGGCCAACAAACCCACGAGCACTCGGAGTACCAGAGGCAAACAAATGCAATTGGAAGAGATGCATCAGATCTACGTTCAGAAACTGCAGTTGGACGAGCAGCTCCGGATCTACGCCCCGAGCCCCTGGGCCTATAGGCACGCGCCCTTTACGGGCGCTCCGTTTGAGGCGCAGCCATCAAGCGTTCGCCTGAGGCAACTGATGAGCCAAATCAACCGCGTGAGGGGCACCCAAGTGAAACTGGCACAGTTCCTGGAGAAGAGCGACCTGGACATCGCCCTCCCCGTGCAAAAGCGATACCATAATATAAGCAAATACGACGTGTCCCAGGGCCACAAGAAGCTCTCCAAGCATCGGCAACGTGCTCCCTCTGCATTGCATAAGCAAAAATGGACCTATCGCATTTTTTTTGGCGCACCGATTCCAGTGCTGATGCACAAACCCTTCGATCCCAACGAGCGGCAGACGTACTTGCGTCGCCATCCCGCCTCGCTGCGCATGAATCAAGATGGCTGCGTGGTCACCAGCAAGAACCTGCAGCGCTATAGGCGGCGTACCGTCGAGGGGCTCCTGCGAGAGGCGCGTAAGAGACAATCGATACATTCCATAGTCACCTCGTCCACAGACAGCTTTAATCTAAAGCGTAAGCGCAAAAAGAAGTCAAAGGCCAAGTAGGGAGCTGTCCAGTTTTTCAATCCTATCGCTCAACTCGAATTCATCGAAGTCTGTGCAAAGACGTAGCTCTGATACATGAATTGGATTGTATTCAAGGAGAGACCTAAAGCATAGGTCCCTCTTTGACCTACAATATAGATCTCTCCTTAAATGTAATCCAATTCAAGCAGCAGAGTTACGATCTATCTCTTCATTAAACTGTCTGCACTCTTCCTTGCATTCCATATATTCTTCCATTTCCTCAATGTAAATATCTCGTGTTTTCCTTAATAATAAATATATCATCTTCTGTTTAATCCAGATCTCCACAAATAAATCTAAGTGAAAATTTTCTCATTATTTCTCAATTTAAGAAGATAATTTAATATTTATAATATATGAACATTTATAGAATTGTTATGCTAATTTACAAATAGAATAAGTATATCTTATATCGTTTCCACTTCAATTTTATTATCATGTATTTCTATATCGTATATTATACACAACCGCATATCGTAAGACCGTCCATTGAGTTATGTAATACGCACTGCAATTTCAATCATATACGCATTATGGAACGCTTTTATCGTATCGTATATCGTAAATTTGAATCTAAATGACAAGCATACATACATCGAATATTGTACATCGTAAATGCTTCATAGTACATACTACATCATTCAAGCGCCATTCATCATCGTATATCGTACATCGTTTTTCGCATATCGTATTTTCGTATATTTAAATATCTCGAATACCGTAAAGAGTTTATCGTACATATATATCATTCATTCGTCATTCATAACTGTATATCGTATATTGTTTTTCGTCTATTCTCTATCGTTTTAGTCGTATATCGTATATCGTATATCGCATATCGTATTTCTAAATGAATAATGTTGACAATCTTTGAAACTATTTCAGTTCTCTGTTTAACCAACCGCATCGCTTGAATTCGAGTCTTGACGGCAGGCATAAATTGGCATGGAAAATCCAGGTAAAGCTGCCAGCGCAGCTGCCCCCCTAAATCATATCGCCGATGGAGCCACAGCGCAAGGCATTCATCCATCGAGTTCCATTCCGAATCACATCTATTTTTAGTCATCGGTCGCCAGCGAGGCCCCAGCGCTGCGCCTCTTAAAACATATTTTTGTGATTTGCTTTATGACGTGTGGTAATTTGTTGGCTCGTTAAGTTGCTTTAATAGATCCGCAGCAAGGCTTCTCGCCACAGCACAGCACCACAGCACCGCCATATCACTGCACCACCGCTGCTGGAAATCAAGTCAACAATCCGTTTAGGGCTGCATTTCTCTTCTGTTGATGTAACGCTAAGTTCTCGACTGCACTGCTCAATGAAATGAGTAATAAGTGAAAGGGCTCACTGATCGACTAGAAGATACCCTTCTTAAAGGATGAAATATGAAATAAAACTGAGTATTACTTCAGAAAATATGTACAAAATATTTTAAAGTTAAGATTTCAAATCATTTGTCATAAGAAAA